GTTTAGTTCATTGTTATCCACCATGAAAGGGGACTGTATACACATTCTTCAGTTGTTTTTGAATTTTTATTCCTTTTTGTTATCTGGGAGATGAGTAATTTAGTATAGCAGCCATAAAAAATGTTTAGCTATAGGTAGGAGCACGTGTGTATGTAATGCGAGTGTGTGTGTGTGTGTGTGTGTATAGAGGTATTCAGTTTCCTAACAGAGAACTTTCTAGGTGGTGGTGTTTGCATTATTTTTTATTACAGATCCTGGCCTCAGATGAAAACATTGGAGAGCAGCCTTGCCTTTTGATCTGATTTCTATACTTTCTTCTGTTTAATTCCATGCCCAGCCAGAATCTGAAGGTCCCAATTGAAAAAGCCATCTACTGACACTAACTCTTCCTGTGGTTCTGATTTATAAGAATGTGCATTTAGTGCAAAATGTTCTCTCTGTTCTTGTTTTCTTGTTGGATCTCAGTGTCAGCTACTCGAAAGTAAAAAGGAAAAAAGGTTTTTTGAACAGTGACTTTGTGTGGTTTCTTCTCTCTAGAGCTTGGTATTACGTCACCTCTGAAATATTATCAGTAATGTTTCAAGTTGTTATTTTTTAGGCACTCCTTGGGGAGAAACAAAAGGAGGAGGAAATCCAAAAAATGAAAGCTGAAATGTCTCAACTTGTGGAAGATACTGCTGCAAGAATTAGAAAGGCAGTAAGTTAGGATGTTTAGAAAGAACAATTTAACTTTGGGTTAAATCTGAAATGAAAGTTTCAATAGTTATTGCAGAGTTCTTCTTGCAGTGCATTTTTTGGATTTTTTATCAAAGAATGTGTCAGAGGGGGCTCATAGACACGTGATGGAATTTTTAGGCTAGTAGTGTCTGTGTGGGTCATGCATTCGGCTCTTGTGCCTGTATAGCAGTTCAGATTAGATTCATATGTCCTTACTCACAGCAATGGCAGCTGACCTCATTTTATGTTAAGGGAAATTTTTAGAAGTCTTTACTCTTTGATATTCTGTCTGCTGTCGTGAATGATTTCTGTTGCCTGAACTAGGCTTTCCTGAAAAGAGCTTAACTTTGCCAATGTTCCTGTGAATGACTAGCGCTGCAAATAGTGTGCTGTAAGATCTGTATAAATGCCTCGAAGACTAATGAGAGAGCAAGTAAGTGCAGACTAAGTAACACATTTTGATTTGGTGTCTCAGTTTTTAAGGAATTAAATAGCTTACTTGCAGTTAAGTAGAAACTACTGTACGTCAGTCCCAAAACAAGCACAAGTCAGTACCCAGGTTTCCAGAATGAAAGTGTGGGGTTTTTTTATCTCTTAGCGTAGCGGTTCACAGAATTTATATAAGGTAAATGCACTGCATAGTGAATGTCAAATGATCCAAAAAGGATTTGAAATCTTTCATAGATTAAATATAAAGCCTCTTCTGGAAGCTTGTATGAATGATATGCAGAATTCTAATTGCTTTATTTTTTGCAAAAAGTTGTTAACATTATGAGACATTTTAGAGTTAAAAGGTTTAATAATGCTAATAAATTTGCAAAATAAAAGCTGACATCTGTTCATATTAATAAATTTTATTCTGTAAGGATTGTTTGCAGCACATTGATGCTATGCATGACAAGGAGTTGGGACATTTTTTTTGTTTTTCTCAGCATGAAAAGGTATTGATGGTGCATGGTAATCATGGTCATATCTTCCAAGTGTTTCGGTAATACAGGTAGGAAGGCAGCATACTGGCAGTACTTTGTACTTCAGCTTTAGCTAGCCATATATTCTTCCAAACTAAGTGAGATTCTTAAATCTCTCAAGAAGCAAAAGTGTTGATGTCTGTGCAGACAGAAGAAGGGTGCATTGTGAAGATGTAAAGAATTGCACTTTGATATAGATTGTGTTCAGTAACATGGCAGCAGACGGAGTGTTACATTGATAGCAAGGTATTTAATGTATGATGCATAGCCTCATCTTGGAAGTTGCTGATGGAAGCTTATCATGTATGTTCAGATGATAGGAGCTGTTGAAAGTTACACTATCAATTTTTTTGCATCTCAGTACTTAAAAATATTCCCCTATTTTGGCAAGTAAGACTCCTCAACCAAGTGCAGCTAACAATCAGAAGGCTCGATATCACAGCACAATATCACAGAATTTGGTAGAGAAATGACTGAAAGAAAATGTAGTCTCTAGGCCAAATAAATAATTGTTAATGAAATCGTGCACTTTTTCTAAAACAAGCTTGAACTGTCAGCTGTCAAGTTACGTGATGAATTTGCAATTAAAATGAAGTTAATTACATTTCAAGACAGATAACGTCCATCTATCAAAAAAACACAATTACTTTTTGGCCAACTCAATAGTATGGATTGATAATAAACATTATTCTAACATTTACATAATAATATTTGTCAGTTATTGCAGCCCCATATTTATGTACGTGCACCACATATAGGCTGTATACATATATATATATAAAACCAGGATGGTTTCCGGGTTTAATTTCTGGTTTACTTTGGTTTTGATCACAGGTAGACTCTGCAAAAGAGCAGTATAATGTGCAGATCTCACTACTCACAGAAGAACTTTCAGCTCTTCAGATGGTATGGTATTGACTGATGAAAGTATTTTTGATAGCAAAACATTTGAGACTTCTAGGTTTCGTTTATTAGGTAAAATACTAAAATCAGGTAAAAAGTCAAGTCAGATATGATTAATGCTAATTGTTTAGGATTATCCTTTATTACTGGATAGCACTTTACATCCTGCATGTCTCCAGATATGAATGCAACGTACAGTGTCTTTCATGTTGCTTGACAAGAGTGACTGTGTGCAATGTCTTAGCAGTCAGTGCAGAGATTCATATTTAGATGTGAAGGATATTTGCTTTGAAAATGCTTTTTTTAATGTGCAGTTTGCCGTGTGTATGCAATCATATCTTACTTAACTGAGAATCTTGCCTGGCTCTGCACAAAATAATACAGTTCTGCAAATCCACCAATTTCTTTGTGTAAGTTTATTCTTTGAGTTACACGTATTCTTATTGTTCATAAGCATCTTGACTGCGAGATTCTGTGCTCTAGAAACTGTTTCCCATGTGCAATTTTTTAAGTACCTCTGTGTCTTTCAGGGATACATAAAGCATGGAAAGCTCAGTAATGCATATCTATAGTTGAGAATGTAGAGATGAAATATATGAAAGTTGATAAAGTATGCTAAGAAAGTCTGCATCACTGTCAGCATATTTTTGAATGAATGTGGAACTTGTAACAAATTATGTGGGAGACCAAAAGAGCTTGGTGTATATGCACCTATTTATGGATTAAATGTATTAAAACAATGTTTCATTTTACATATCTTAGTCTGTATAGTGAATGAGACTGATCCTATAGAGAAATAATGAGCAGGTAAATACAATCAAATGGTTACTTACCAGCAAAAATTACATTTACAATGGCTGGTTTTTGGCTTTGGCGCTTCTTGATTTTTTGTTTTGAGTACTTTTTTATTATATTTTTAAAATTACTTTTTAAAATAGGAATGTGGAGAAAAACAGGATCAAATTGAACGAGCTATTAGAGAAAAGAGAGCAGTGGAAGAAGAACTTGAAAAGGTAAGACAATTGCATGCATTGTGACATCATGTTTAAGATCTCTTTTTAGAAGGAGAAGTTATAATGAGTTTTCCCATTTCTCATGGGTTTTTTTTTGTTCCCTTAATTCTCTTACTTTGTAATTGTAAATTTTCATGTCATTATTTTAAGTTGTTGTTTTGTTTCTTTTTTTTAATCTGGAAAACATTTTAAAGCTGTAATACTAAACTGAAAAGAAGGTTCTTTGAAAAGTGTAAAAAGTAATGAGAGATGTTTGATGTAATACAAAAGAATGTTGGTACATATTCCAGTTAAACTTAAGCTCAGTAGACAAACAACTAAATCAGTGCCAGATCTTTGAAATTTTTTTTTCCAAGTAGCAGCAGCAATGATAGAAATTCAGTTTTGTTTTAGATCCCTGAAAAATGGAATGCAATGAAGAGTAGCCTCTTTGTCAATACTACACTGCCAATCACCAGTGCAAGGTAAAGGTGATCTTACATCTGAGTTTGTTCTTCAGATTTACAAGGAAGACAGAGGACATGAATATGACAGTAGAAAACTAGAGCAACTGCATCAGAAATACTTACTTGCAGAAACTACAAAAGGTGACCTTCAGCTAAGTCTACAGAAAGCACAAAATAAACTGAAACAACTGGAAACTAAGTAAGTAATGGATGTTACAGAAATTTGAATGGAAAATAATCAAAATTATTTCTAACAAATTGCTGATTATGTGTTAGGCTTTTGTTGCATCTTTTTAACCAGTAGCAGGAATAGTACCAGGTTTCTGTAATTCTGAAGCAAGGGCAATTATGAATCACTATAAAAGTATTAAAAGGGATAATGCCCTACAGAATGAAATGTTTTCTTTACAAGAGAGAACTGCAAGCAGTTCTTCAACAAAAAAAAACCTACAAAAAAACCCCAAAAACCCACAAAAAACTAAAGTAGGAGTGTATTATTTGGAATCTTATGCTTTTTAAAATACTCTGCAGGAAAAGTTACTCTGTGAAATATTCAGTCAGAACTTAATACTTTACAAATTCATCTGCACTGTGGTATTTTCTAGTACGTGCAGAACACTATGTTTACATAGCATACTGAGTTTCAGGTCTGTGTTCAGAGCTAATAGACACTATTGCAGTTTCAATAATACAATGGTAAAAAATACAATATGGTACACATTGTTAGACCAGGTTGTTGTTTTCAACAAGGAAAGTGTAGGATTCTCTAGAAGCTTCAGTCATTTCTACTCTAATGATTGTAAATCCTGTCACTTCACCAGAGCAATCCTCAGTTGGGAATCTGGAAATGTTACAGAAATGAAAATGTCCTGTTTCATTTTGTCATTTTACTGACATTGCTTCAATATTAGATTGGTTTTATGAATTGCCTTATCTTGATAAAATTCTTTGCTAACTTTTGCATAGTTCGCATAGTTCTAGCTGTAAAGGCCATTAAAGATGCTGAGCTGATACAAACTTTCAGGAAGAAATGGGAAGAGCTGTACTGGGTCAGACCAAAGATCTGACCCAGTATTTATGGTTTTTTTTCTAATTCTGGAGTTGTTCAACTCTTGATTTCCAACAAGACTTTTCTTCTCTTTCAGCTCTGAGGAAGAGAAATCTCGTTGCCAGGAAGTTATCTGTAAATTGCAAAGCATTCTGGACTCGGAAAGAGAAGAGAGTGCCTTTGTCAGTGAGCAAAGGCTAAAACTTCAGCAAGAGAATGAACAACTGCAAAAAGAAATGGAGGGCTTGAGAAAACTGGCCACAGAGGCTCAACTAAAAGCTAAAATAAAGGTATGGTTTATGTGTTCTTTTTATTTTATCATAGGACTGGTATTTCCTTAGTAAGGCAGCATTTATAAGTTATTTATAACATTGAATGTTTAAATTAAGGATGAAAGTTTCAATGATGCTTCATGGTTTCTTCTTAAAAGTAATTTTGTTGTAACATTGCGTGTCCTTGGAATCCACTGGGTAACTCAATCTCTGCTATTTAAATTGTATTTTAATATGTCTTAAGTGCTGCTCAATAAGAAGATCCCAAATGTTCTTTGGTTTTTGTAAAACGATTAGATCAGATAATAACTAACTTTTCTTCAAGTGATTTCACTTATCCAGTTCCTGATCTTTATCTGTCTACTGTCTGTAATGTATTAGGAATCTCTATGACTTTCAGTCCAGAGTGTTCCTCTATTTGTTAGTCCACCATGTTGTCAGAGCAGTGCATAACTAGTAAATAACTTGATAATTTAATAGTGTGGTTGTCAAACATTCTATATTTTCTAGACAGAGAACATTTTTCTGTAGGAATAGTTGTAAGCAAGGTGATTAGCTGAAAGGTGGATGTTCGTCTTGAATGTGTTCCATTATGCGCACCTGAACGGACTGCGGGTGGAATAATGACTTAATAGTGACTTCAGCAGATACCTTTGGCATCTGAAGGGAGTAGCAACTTTTATCCTTGATGTGCCTTCCAAACATACAAAACTGGTCTTTCCCTTCTGCTCTTAGCTCCAGGAGTGTAAAGATATTGAAAAGGAATCTAAGACTCTACAGCAGTGAAGAAGACTTCAGTAAGCAGTTTTACAAATTACGAATAGGGACCATCTCAAATCAAGTTACCATTTTGTACCACAAGATAGAGGAAGTAGTCAGATTAAACATGACATCTTGTTCCCTTTGGTCAAACGTAGCTTAAAAAAAAAAGATCAGCGTCTTGTAAATCATACATACCAGATCTTCGTCCATCTCATTTTTAATCAGTCAGGATTCCATTATAGTCACAGATAAGATTTATTGCTTGCTTTCGTTTTCTTCTGATGTACAAAGGATTTTAGATGCCGTTAAGAAACTCCTAATGCATTTTAGCTATATGAAAAAGAAAGAACATGTTTCTGTGGAGAAAACACAAGGGAGAGGATAAAGATTATTTACAAAAATAGGCATACACAGCTCATTATCCTTTATTGTCAGTTATACTGTTTGTGTAAATTGGCTTTGGGAACATGTATCTATTTGAGCATATCATTACAAGTTTAATTATTACATGTTACATGCTTTCAACAAATGTTTATAAATTTAACTCAAGTGTTGTAAAAAAAGAAAAGTAAAAAGTGAGAGACTTGATTGTTACCTTATTTGTGTTTTTTTCTAGATCAGCACAATGGAGCATGAGCATGCTGTGAAAGAACATGGATATGAAGCTCGACTTAAGGAGATGGAAGACACCAGTCAAAAGTCTATTGCTGAGCTTAGACGTCTGTTAGTAGCTCAGCAAAAAGCAACAAAACGGTGGAAGGAAGAAACAAAAAAACTTACTGAAAATACAGAAGCCAGAATCAGTAAGCTAAAGTAAGTGCAATTTTGTTCCTCTGCTGGAAGCTGTTAACAGTTTTAGTTACTGTTTGGCGTATGGCAATAGACCTGTGGTGAAAACCAAACCATCCGGACTAGATGGTGTGCTTCCAGCAAAACAAGAAAGAATGCTCTAAAGAGAACTTTTGATGCTCTTTGTGAAGTTAGCAGCTAAGCACTGAAATAAAATCTTTGCATCTTGTTAATGTGTGTGAATTTTGTAATGACAAAAAGTAAATGGAATATATTATTTTTATTTTTTTTCTTATAAGGTACAGAACGCTCGATTTAGAGAATTATAGCTTTGGGTTATGGAAACCCCTATATTTATAGCTATTCAGAACAGTCACCATAAAATCAGTTGTAGAGTGTCTCCAGACTTACAAAATAAGCTGGGAAAAAACCTATGGGACACACCTCTAATGCTCTCTTCTGAGCAGTTGCTGTCATAAGTGAGGCTACAAATGAGTAGTGTGATCACCCTAAGCAATTATATGATATAAACTGTACTTTTGTCTTAATTCTGCAGGTTGCCAGGTAACTAGCTGATACTTGTATTCCCAGCACAGGATATTTTCAGTTTTGAAAGGGCCTAACAAGGGCATCTCACGTAACAGACATAGATAAAGATTACGTATCATTCCTAGATGCTGGATTTAGAGAAGACAGTGGAGTTACTGGAAGTGAGTGAATAGAGAAGAAAGTCTCACAATCAGAAATTAGCTTTTTGCAAGTTATGTTTGAAATAAATTCTACCAACTTACCTTTTTTTTTACATGCATATTGCTATAGATAGTGTTTGCATCTACTTTGATGTTAATATCCATTAAAATGTTAAGAATCCATACTGATCAATTTATGAAATAAGGAGATAGGGCATCTACATTCATAAGTGTTATGTTTTTTAAATTAAAATTATTAGAGAAGAATATAATGTTGCATATATAATTACCTTTTAGGAAGTGCATTCAGTGGTTTTTAGAAGAAAAGTTAAGGGTATGCAGCTCTGTTAATTTGAGAAATTTGAAATTACTCTTTAACTTCAGTCACTTAAAGCACAGGATATTGCTTACTATCAAGTTAACAAGGAAGCAAAGGTTTTGCCCTATCAAAATTGGAAACCTGTGAATTCTCGCTTTCATTTCTTTCGAAGTAACCTTTGGATTTTTCAGTTTCCATCTTTTTTAGAGAAGTTTCTGAATTTGACCTCCAGTGAACTTCACAAATAGCAGTTTCATAGGTAGTAGTTCTTCCCTCTGAAACTAGTTTCATTCCTCTTTAAAGTCATGCGGTGTCTGTCATGACTAGTTGTACCTGTTGTCTGTCCAAATAGAGGAATGCAATGAGTTCCATCCTGCTTGAAATACAAGAATGATTGATAAGACTTATTGACAACTTTTCTGTTTAAATAGCAGCTTCACTGATCTGCCTAGAAAGCCTTTCATTTTTTTTAAAGTGTTCCTTTTCTGAGTGTTTAGAACACTTTGTAGTAGTGGTAGATTGTTACCTATGATAACAAAATCATTCTGGTCATTTTTGCCTCTCCTAAGTAAACACTTGGAGCTTTTTTACCTTATCTTTCCAGATATAGACTAGCTTTATTTTGCCTTAAAATGTACTGCATTTTGCAAAGATTACTAACAGTTCTTTAAAAAGGCAAAAAGTTTCTTTCAGAAGAAGTCATCAGAGTGTTCAGCATGTCTGCAAGTGGTGCAGCTTCACTGTATGTCCTTCGCTGGGTCTCACTAATGCTTTCTCGACATTGATTGTAAATGCATTAACTAAAGAAGAAAAATATTTTATAGTGTTTCATGCTAAGGTAAACTGAAGCTGTTACACTTGTAGTTTACTTTCTGTAAATGGAAGTACAAAACCTTTCGCAGCTGAGCCATGTAGGTTCATAACTAGATCCTGAATGGGGTTCAGAAGCTTACAGTTAAAAGGGGAAAATTGCAGACTTCCAAACAAATTCAAATTGTCTGTTAAACAGCTGCTTTCCTTCTTAAAGCTTTAATATTCAGTGTTAAAATGTGGACAGAAAGCTTTAGACCTTCATCTGCAGCAAAATGCTGACATAGAAAAAATAGACATGAGAGGAAGTCTGTTTTGTGAATCTACATGAAAAATAGATAGTAATTTTGAAAATGTCCCTGTTTGTGTGAGAGACTGCCTATGTGGCATTGTCTGGAAAACTTCTGCAATAATTTAATATCGTGTATGCCTGATAAGCAGAAAGGAAAAAACGTTCATCTTGTACTAAAAATTGCAAGTTCATGATTCTGTGTCACTTCAGTAGATATTTTGGTGTAAGTCTGAAAGCAAAGTCCGTTACATTTTAAGATTATTTTGTAGGTGTTGCTTTGTTATACTGTATAAGCTAGAAGCAGAAGTTTTTATTGGACAATATTTGCTCTACCTAAGAATGATACTGACAATAGAAACAAGTTTGTTCTCTGCTAGAAGGTTGTAAAACTTAAGGAATTTCATCATTAAATCTGTGCAGTGATGCTCTGATAGTACAGTGGCAAATGGCTATAACAGAACCTGTAAGTAAGTACTACCCAGAAAATTTAAAAGCAGCTTAGTTTTCACATCATATGCCTTACCAGATACTTAGCTATATAGTGCAGAATACAGTTAATCTGAAAATTAGCTGACTTACATAGTAGTATTGAATGCAAAGTCCTTGCTCATATTATAAATGAATAATTATCATACTTTAATTTTATCATAATGATAATTTGAGTACAAATACAGAATGGCAAATCACTTCTAATTTTGTTGTGAGCTGAAATAAAGTTGCTGACTGAATGCTCTGGCATGCATTAAGAATGTGGCCAGTAGGTCAAGGGAGGTTATCCTTGCACTCTACTCTGCCCTGGTGAGGCCCCGTCTGGAATACTCTGTCCAATTCTGGGCTCCTCAGTTCAAGAAGGACAAGGAACTGCTGGAGGGAGTCCAGCATAGAGCCACTAAGATGGTGAGGCAACCGGAGTATCTCCCATACAAGGAAAGGCTGAGAGAGCTGGGTCTGTTTAGCCTGGAGAAGAAGAGACTGAGGGGTGATTAATACTTAGAGATATCCAAACGATGGATGTCAGGAGGATGGGACCAGACTCTTCTCAGTTGTGCCCAGAGACAGGACAAGGAGCAGTGGTCACAAACTGGAACACAGGAGATTCAGCACAAACATGAGGAAAAACTTCTTTACTGTGAGGGTGACAGAGCAGTGGCACAGGCTGCCCAGAGAGGCTGTGGAGTCTCCTTCTCTGGAGACATTCAAAACCCGCTTGGACACATTCCTGTGTGACCTAGTCTAGGTGATCCTGCTCTGGCAGGGGGGTTGGATTGGATGATCTTCAGAGGTCACTTCCAACCCCTACCATTCTGTGATTCTATGATATATTTAAAAAGCAAAATAATTTTGTAGCTAATGCATTTATTATGGAAATATCAGCAAGACCACTAAATAATAGGCTGGTACTTGGTAAGCAGGATCTATTAAATTAAGGCTCTCTTTGAGGCTAGTGCAGGAAATAGTATCACCAAGCCTTATAGTGGCATCCAAGTGTTCACCCAGCTTTCCTAAATACATACATTTTTAAGTTTATGTGGTTTTGAGAAGGTAAGTTAAGCTGTGAGCTTGTAAGGAAAACTTAGTGTCTTCCTTAGAAACTTCATCTTGTCTGGACTGGGCAGCAGGGCTATGAATTTCAATGCAGATATCAACATACCCTTTTCGGATTTAAATAGAGAGCTCTCCAAGTTTAGCAACATATCACAGTTACTTTGTGTATTTTGAGGACATCTGAAACATTCCTTGGCACTTCATGAACTTACTGTTTGATGTATTTGGTTTGTATAAATATATGAGCAAGTACAGGGATTGTGTTGGTGACATACAGCAGAATTTCAGTTTTTAATAAGAACTATTACTCTTAGAGCATAGTAATGTGCTTTACAGGTGAATGTTTTTCAGCAAGTTCTGTACTTCCTAAGAAAGTCATATCCATGTACACTGGGGAGGTGGTTTACATAAAAGCATTTTATATTGCATTCCACAGAAGTTTGCTGTTAGTGCAGCTCTCATAAGCATTGAGTCAGTGTCCAGTTGTTGGTGTAGGTGTTTCCCATTCCTCTGCCTTAGATTCATGATCTGTTGCTGTGTTTCAGTTCTCTCCTCATTATTTTCATTTCCATGTGAAGGTGTGAAGCATTTTGGCTTCTTTACTAACTTCCCAGCAGCAGCTGCTAACTTTTCTATATTTTGTGCTGCTCGTTTGTTGTCTTTTTAAGTTGGCAGTGGTTTGTTCGTGCTTATACATAGGTATAAAAGAAGCATTAAATAAATATTTTTAAGAAATAAAGCAACATTGGTGAACATTTTTAATTTTAAAAAATTAAGAAGGAAAAGTAAATTTTGCAACCTGTAACACTAGAGCAGAGTGGTGATTTTTTTAGATAATATGAGAATCTAGTAGATCAGTGAAAAACCTGTAGATAAAAATGTTGAGAAATAAATTGATACTTTCAGGCTTCACTGAAAATTATTCTCAGCTTTCTTGGACCTTTGGGTCTCAGTTCAAGTTAAACATGTAATTGCTGCCTATAAAACGGAACTTGGAAAAGTAAAAAAGAGTGCTGAAACAGTAAGCAAGGCATTCGGTACTTTCAGACTAAATTCCATCATTTTCTTCATAAAAATATGTTACAGTCTTCATTTATGAGAAGAGTTTTCTTCCTTCTAAGCATCTTAAGATACTGTACGCTTTTAGGAGGATTTACTGGTAATAGACTTCACCTTCACCTTGCAGGAGGGCAAGGAACCAGTTTTGCTTCAATATACTTGTGCCAAAACTCCATCTTGAAGGTAACTAAGAAGGTCAGTGCTTCTTGCAACATAGGTCATCGTTCCAAATAAAAACACTGCTCTTGGCAGCATGACTTCACAACTCATGACTGATGTTTATTCTCTTCATTCTTGCAAAACATTTTGTCTGGCAGACTATGAAATGAAGCTGTTCTGACTTTTGATCGAATTAATTTGAGAAGTACTTTGTGTTCTAATGACATTTACTGACGTGAATTTAGACAGCAAAAATTTGCAATTATAAAAGTTGTGCAAATGAATTATTACCTTTAAAGGATGTAAAAAAGTGGCATAGCACTCGTATGTATTTAAATATGAACTGTCCCAAGGCTTTTCTATTGAATTTACGTTGTTTCTTTCCCTAAAAAACCCTAAGAATGTGTATGTAAAAAATTAATGTAATCTGTATCTGTTTACATGTGTTTATAAACACATACAAAAACTATCACCCTCAGATTAAGTTTGGGGGAATTTTATATCTTAAGTTAAGGTGAATTTAATACTTCTTAAAGACCTTTACTGGGTTTGGCTGGGATGGAGTCAGTTTACTTTAATGCAGCCAGTATGGTGCTGTGTTTTAGGCTTATGAGCAAAATAGTGTTGATAACTCAGCAATGGTTTAGCTGTGTCTGAAGAGTGTCTCAGAGACTTCTCTGTTTTCACTCTGCCACCCCAGTGCCTAGGCTGGCAGTGGGCAAGAGGCTGGGAGGGGACACAGCTGGGACAGGTGACTCCAGCTGACCAAAGGGATATCCCACACCATATAATGTCATGTGCACCAACAAAACTGGGTGGAAGTTCTTCCAAAGCAGCTGGTGTTTGGATACTGGCTGGGCATTGATTTGCTGGTGATAAGTGACTGCTTTTGCGTATCTTTTTTCACTTCATTTATTAAACTGTCTTTATCTTGACACACAAGATCTTTTCACACCTGTACCCTTCTGGACCTCTCCCCCTTTCCTCTGGGGGAAAGTGAGCTACTAGTAGGGGCTTACCTGCCAGCTGGGTTAATCCACCTCAAGACTGATGACAGGTGTGGCTTTTGAGATGGAAACTTACATTAACATGTCATTTTACTTGAATTGGTTTGGTTACTTGCTGTGTTTCAACAGGCTTGCATTCTGACACTTGCATCTCTGCTAGGGTCTGAAATTGAACAACCAATTCAGTTCTGACCAGGAATTATCAGCAGAATGAAGTGAACTTCTGAAAGGCAAAGAGTAATCTTTCACATTCATTACAGGGGTTTAAATGGAAAATAATAATAAATACAGAAATCCTATAAAGCTAGCAAACTTATTTCTAAAACACAAAAATAGCTTTTAAGTCTTGGTGAATAATTTAACAATTATATGTTCATTAATTTAGTAACTGACACTTACTTGAGTTTCTGTTTGATGTATTTTCTCCCTCTGTATCTGGAACATTTTGTAAGTAATCTAAATAACCAAATCAGAATTAGGTGTAATGTTTAAAAAGGTATTTTGATCTTCAATATCACTTCTCCACAGATTTGTGTGGAATTTGATAAAAAATAGAAGCAATCCATGTTGTTGTTGTTGCTGATCTACAGGTCGTAGAGCTTCCAACTGTAAAGTTGCAAGCGCTAAGATCACTGTCAGTTTGAAGGTCCCAAACTTAAAGAGACTTAAGTGATCAGCCTTTGACATCTGTGGTAAAGTAACAGCATCAAGTGCTTCCAGCAGCTTTTATATTTTTGTCTTCATTCGAAAGAATTTACTTTTGAAAGAAACGATGAATACATACACATTTTTAAAGGCTGTGCTTTCACTGAAGTAGCATCATCTGGGAATACAGTTTCTGTGGCCATATTTTGAGGGAAGAGACTGACCAGGACTGTTCTTACTACCTTATGCTATTGTGTGTAAGGCTATAGTTCTTACTTAAGCTGAGCATAAATGACAGCAGAGATCGTCAAAAGAATATTTAGCTTAAGTCATAACATTGCTCTTATGTGACTGCAGCTATTTCGGGTGTCTTTGTTCCAGTTTCTGCTTCTGAAACATTTCTGTATCATAGTGTCCCTGACTCCTGGGTAGCCATGTGTGGTTTTTGGAGTTCTCAGTTTTATCTTTTCTATACTTGAAAAGAATCTGCCTCTGAAGAATGACCTTTTTTGGTGCCTGTGTATGAAGCAGTGGCCAGGACTGCCTTCTCCTCCCTACATCCTGTACCTTGCGTGAATTTCAGAGTATCTTGAGATGAAGTTTCCTGCGTTTCTAAAACCTCATTCTTGGCTGTACTTCTGTAATGGTTGGCAGCCATAGCTGCTTATTTTAAGATGTTCATTAAAGAAAAGAATTAACAGGATGAGAGACAGCTGCAGGTACTGGCCGTATACAAAATTCATAATTATTAAGAGTAACTGAAGCATATTACAGTATAATTCAACCAAAATAACAGCTGGCACATGCTATATTTGTCATATGAGAGCTTTGCAGAATGTACTTGCTGCAGCTGGCGGATTTATCACCCGTCTGCCAAAATACTAAAAGCTCACCTTTTGTTTCCTATTCACTTAACAAAGACAATATGGAGTAGGGACTGGTTTGATTATTCAGCAGTTGGGGTTACTGCTCAGTTTTAATATTAAAATCTTATAATGTGTGTTTAGGGGAAGGTTAACCATCGGAAAGGATCAACTGTCTACCTCAATAGCCATCACATTTCCTTATGCTTACAAGGTTAAACTGTTTTCTTTAAACACATGTGCATTGTGATGTAATTAGGAAAATTATTTCTTGGTATACAGCTGTACAGGAGCACATAAACTCTGTTTATGTCCTGTGCTGCTAAGAATGCTAATTCCACACCTCAGGACAAGTATAGGAGAGAGGTTGTTTTCAGTAACTAAGAATTTTTAACTTAGAAAATTAATTTATTTGGATAGTCTTCTAAGATGATGTCACAATAAAGATGGTTTGTTAGAGTTTAAGAATTTCCATATTTTCAAAGCCTTTTTTACTAGGGTAGTTAAAATTGAACATAAATTGTCTACATGTTGTAAGGAGTATGTTTGAATAGTTTTCTATGAAGTTTATTCTGAGAAGGTATGTATGAAAAGATACAACGGGAATTGTGTAGAATTTCTGGTTTGCTAATAAAAGAGTATATGAAAACTCTAAATCACAAAATAGCTGTTTATTATTACTCCCATACTAAAAATGCTTCATGTTGATGCTTGATTTTTGTTACAGAGGACAAATTGCAATAGTAGTGTTAAATATTAACATACTATCTTGATTCTGCAATTTTAATTCATCTTTAACTCTTTATTTTCTATTAAAAAATTCACATATGGTAACACAAGTATAATCTATATATAATCTTAACTGTTTAACATAGTTTAAATCTCTGCCTATATACTCCCATTTTTACAGCAGCTAGTCAAAAGATGTTAAACTGTTTCTATGATACCTGCCTGGGATTGGTTAAAGGGGTTGGTTGAGAACAAGGGAATGAAAACCACAAGCCAGGTATACTTGCAACCTTATGTTAACAGATATGTTGCAGCCTTATATTTCAAGTGCCATATAGCAGTTTTCAGTGAAACTTTTATGTAATACTAAAAGTTTTTAAGTGTAAATTATTGTTGAGAACTAAATGCCATCATTAAAAATAGCAGAGGCTGTTTGAAGATTGAGATCTGAGGTTAAAGTATCTCCTACCTTACCTCCATTCCCCCAGAACTAATAAACGCTTCCTTTACAGTGCCTGTAGTTTCAGTAACAGGCTGAGCACCTAAGGGTTAGGTATCACCTTTCTGTGCTACGTATTCATGAAGATGATTGCATTTCAGTGTACTTTCAAGTTGGGCAAGGAAGGTAAAGTGAGAATAGATTTGAAAATTCTTCGCAAATACGTTTGAACCTCAATGTAGAAGGTGAAACTGGTGGCAAGAATGCTGATCACACCATTTTTGTGATGGCTGTTGCTTGTGGAATAGGTACAAGTCAAAGACTAGAGCAGCTAGTTTAGTTTTGCATTTTCCTCTGGCCAAAATTACCAAAGTTCAGAGATATTTCTATCTTTGGTTTATCCCTTTTCTTCAGCACCATGTGATGACGGAAGGCAAGAGCTGTTTCCTTTGAGCACCAACTTAAAATATGTCTACTGTAACCCAGATATTCTTTGTCTTCAATACTATACAAATTTAGGATCACAACAACTCATTCAGTATAAAAGTAAAAAGACCACTTTGAAGAAGGTGACATTTTACTTTTCCTTGTGTTACATTGTTCTGTCTCACAAGTGCACAATTATTTGATTTTAGGTTCTTCAAAGCACCTTCAAAAATGTCCACGTTGAAGTTTGGGTATGGGACACTAATTAGAATGTTAATTTAAAAACTGAATGCACTGTGCAAATGCAGCTTATATTTGTAGCATATTTGATAGCATGCCTGTAGAAATAGATTCAGTAATCGGAAAAAAACCCTCTATAAAATGTCAGATGTTCTTGACAAAGTTCTGTTGATTTGAACAAGTATATCTCATTCATCTGCCATTATAGTTTTGAATACACATTATGAAGTGTGTGTAGTGCTTTTGAAATCAGTGTTTTAAAAGCAACACTGTAAAAACATGCCATAAGGGCCTACAATGCAAGAAAGTACCAGTGAAACTATATTCCGATAACTGATGCACTACTGTGTGTTAATCAGCATCTTTCCTTCTGATTAATAGAAGTGCGCTGAGTCAAGAAAAACTTCATAGCCAGGAGCTTGTTTCTCAGCTGGAAATGGCAAATGAAAAGGTAACTGTGGTAAGGTAATGACTGATAGGACAACTATTTTCAGTTACAACCTGATGCACGCATGCCAAGATCTTAACAGAAACCTATTTAGCTGAATTATGTTGCTGGTTTAGAAAAAAATAAGAATTTTTGACAGGAGTAGTGATAGCTGGAAAACCCCACTGTTTCTGCTGATTGACATGTTCAAATGGTAGGAAGACAAAATAACTTTACTCTCAAATTACAGGAAAAGGTAAAGGAGAGATCATCTTTCAAGGTTACTTATCTAGCAATTTTAGACAATTCAGGAAATGTTTCTGAAGTCACTTATGCCTGCATAAGCATGAATACCTTTAAAAGGAGAAGACGTGTTATGGATAATGTACCATATGCAGAGATATCAAATTCTCATCATGCTACAACTATAGTAGAATTTACACTGTATGTGCATAGATGCATGTAGATAAAAGCATCCATTAGAGATTAAGGGCAGGGTTGTTTTGGAATGTGCATTGTTCAATAATTAATGGCCTCTTTAGAAAACAACTATCCCATCAGCCTCATAAATCTGGGATAATATCCAGTACTATCTAGGATAAGTCCTTCGTGTAGTTTTTTGTAGTGCTGTTTAATTCAGAGGAGAAAAATGGGTCTGATGCAAGAATCGGTTTCTATAAGTAAAGGATGGTTATGAAGGACTCTGTACACAGCCTTTGATGAAGAGAACAGAAGAAATCTGTAGCAAGATTATAATTTCATTAATATTATCTAGTAGTTGCTTTTTTTCCCTTTTGGTATAGCTAAAATATTTACATTGTAAGACTGTAAATTAAATTACCTGGATTAAAATGTCAGGCTTTTATGCATCTTGCTTCAACATGGTGAAATGAATAAAACTTCCTCTGTGGGTTACTCTGATTGGAAAAGTCATATGATGTCATATTTGAGCTGGAAATTCTCTACAATGTGTCAGTAGTATGTCTTCAGTCTTTAAGTGGTAAACAGTTCTGCTTCCTAAGTTCTTCTCATTTTAAGCTTTTTCACTACAGTATGCATGGATCCAGTAAAAAACAACTTTGTATTTCTAATGTGGTATTTCATTTATACAGGATAAAAAATTAATGATGGAATATCAAGAATACATCAATAGGCTTCAAAGGCGACTAAGCCATGCAGAACAGAGGGCAGCTACAGCGTCTCAAAAGGTACAAAACCAACAAAAACAATGTTACTTAAGTGCATTTAAAAAATCCCATTGAGTATCACAAAAACATTCACTTTGTATCATTCCTGAGGAAGAGGTGGTCATTTATGTGCAGTAGTACTAATATCATTTTAACAAGAAGTTTGTATTTTGGATGCATCATCACAAAACTGATGCATATTCAATTAAATGCTGCCTTCTGACAGGATGCTTCAGTGACAGCATACATTTGTTTATGGAAACAAATCTGATGCAAATTAAACTTGTATGGTTCAAAATGTGTGAATGAAGGTGTATGATCATTTCCATATTCAGAAATGGCACCATGTTAACATAGGGAAAAATGCTTCTTAAGTAACTGCAGCTCCTGTTTACAGGCTTCTTTAGCTTGGTGTAACCTGCTGCAGCAGTCAGAAATGATGGCTTCATGTGATAAGGAGCAAATGTGCTGATTCCTGCACCTGTCTCCTGGGGAGTCCGATTTAAAACAAAGCATGTCTCAAGTTGATGGCTAGATAGCTGCCTTTATAAAAATGGTTAGGCAGCATAGCTGTTCCCTGGGAATCCAGTTTGTAGTTTTTTCAGCCAAGTTTGCTCCCTGGTCTAATTCACCGTGTGGCTGCACGAAGAGCATGGGGAGATGGTGTGCAGTGGTTGCAGGACAGAATGAATAGTGTGGACCTGTTCCGCGTTCATCAAATTGCAACCTTGAGTACCATCTGCCATGTCATGTGAACTCCCAAAGTTGTTCGTTTCTTGTCTGTCCACCTGCATTTTCATCAGTAGCCTCCAGTAGCTGTGTCCCCACAGATAGTTGCAGAAGTACACTTCGTTGTAGGTACCATCAATGATGTATAACAGGCGCAGTAAGTCCTGTCATGTCAAAAATACATGCTTGACAATAGGAAATGCTTGGGTTTTCCCTAGCCATGGGAAGGGGGGAAGGAAGGGATGGTATCTCACTACCGTAGCAAATACACTTAGTTCAGTGTTTCAGTGATTCTGAAAACTTTGGGCAAGGTGTATCTAACAGAGCCATTTGTATGCCTAAGACCTCCTTGTTCACCATTGTGATCACCTAATGAGCTGAACTGTTGCTGCCTTCTGTTTTGAGTTCTCTTACAACTCCATTCCAACTTTGAGCAGTACTCTTCAGTATTTCTGGACAGTAGCAATATTTGGTGGAAACATTTTAGAAATGTTTCTCTTTAGAAACTTTGGGTTTTGTTTAAACCCTGTGCCACCTGTAATTCTGAATTTTTTCTGTTGTAGAGTAGGGTTTTTCTATTGAAGCTATACATCTTGAAGGAAATCCCATGAGGGGTGTTATACATTGGGGTTCACTTCTTTGCTAAGCAAATTCATTACTCTAGTTGGTATCCTGTTAAGCAAAGTTAGTCTTTCTGCCTCCTAAGATTTTTACAGTTATTTAGGAAACCCATCTGCAAATTACAGCTTTTTAATGTGGGTCATCTCTTGTGACTTGCAGAGAGGAAATGTTTGGTTGATCTAAATTGTCCAGTTAGGACAAATGGCATTTTTTTTCCCCAACACCAGTGAATAAATGAGCATCACTGCCAACCTATAAGCTTCGTTTCCTGGCTGTAAACACTCTCTGTCGTGACAAGGTCTACCCAACTGGTGAAGAGTTGCTCTGAAAGAGTGATTTACTTTTTTACTCTCCTGTTTGTTATATGGATCTAATAGTTCTAAAGTGCTGTCTCCCCTTAAAAAACATGGTCATATCACCTTTCAAAGAAATAAATTCCTGGCCTCAGTGCCCATATAGGAGGAGTTCTTGCTGTTCCTGGAAACATCAGTAATTAACTGTTCCTCACCAGCCTCCCTCTGAAAGGTAACAAAGAGATTTGATTAGACATTTAGCACCTAAATTGTCATCCAGATCTTACTGCTAGTCCTCAGGACTGCCTCGTGCTCTTCAGGCTAGGCAGAAGTTACGGCTGCCAGCTGTTAGGCATGGCCTCCTTGTAGTGACTTAACTTCTGTGCCAAGCCTCTTCCCTCCCTCCCGCTGCCCCACCAAAGACAGACGTACCAGCACTGTTCCCTCTAAAGGCTGGAAAATTTGGTCTCCAGGAATGCTGCTACAAGAATGTCCACCCTTCTGAATCTGAAGAATCAAGGTGTTTAGTCTCTTCTAGGTTTCAGAAGACTGAAATGTTCACGCGTATGCTTCCTCAGATTCAGAACAATAATTCCTCTCTGTACTCTGAATCTGTAGGTTGAGGGCTACTTTCTGACTTAATTGTGTATCCTCATTTCATTATCCAGCTTGTAAAATTAGATCCAGTATAAGCTAGAGCTGGACTATTGAGGAGTCTAGAAATTACCTTTTTATTGTGGTTAGATTAATGACCATAGATCTCATATTATTATTAAATAATAGTAAATCAGTAAGAAACAAAAACTACAGGATAATGTTTGCATAGGTTTAAAATGTGCATATTCTACGTAAATGTCTTTGAAGTGTACTTCTGCTACTTAATCTTTCATCGTCTTGAATTCTTTGGGATCTGAAATAAGACAAAAGTAGTCATCTATAGAGTGCATTGTAAATTATCCCGTTTACCCCAAATTCCCACTTACTTACCCTTCTTCCCTCTCCTTCATGACACCTTCTATATTGAAGTTCTGCTGATATTTTGATCTTACAAAAAATTTTCTAAGAAACTGTTTGCTTGTTTTTAATTACAGCTCAGCCTCATAACTACACAGAAGAAAAAAGCTGCTTCCCTGAAAGATCTGGAAAATATTTAAATATATGTATTGTTCATTCACACTATGTTGGAGTTAAGGTTGCTGGAGAAACTTCATATTGGAGTATTAAAGTGAAATGCATAGCAAGGCTTGTAAGCTTAGGTAAACATTTTCTGGTTTATTCAAGTAAGAAAGGGGGTAGATGAAGCTACTGTATCCATATGCATAGTAAAGATGGGAAGAAGACCACAACATAATGTAATTAAAGTCCTTTAATGTAGCAGATTAAACAGTTCAACACAGTGCTGTGGCATATTGGTCTTTTTTGGTCTAAAAAACAGCAGCTCCAACTATGACAATTGTGCACAGGGAACAGATACCATTATATTGCAATTCATGAACAGCTCTGCTCCCGTAGTCAACAGCTTTTTCTTTGCAGTGCAGTAACTTGAGAACATTTTTAAGATCTTTTACGAATTGCAGTAAGACACTCATTACATCATGAGTATCAAACAGGTGCAGGTTTTATGGCAGGCATTATAACTGGGAAACACCTCTGTTGCCTTCCATTTTTAAGACTTTGGTTTGGTTTGTTCTGATGTCCCTGGGATAGAGTTAACAAATGAAGTGCTGCTATGGTCATTCATGCAGCTGGTTTCCAAGGACCATAATCTTTCTTCAGTTGTGCTTTTTCTTTCTAGTTACTATTTTACAATTGTTCCTTGCTTTTCTGTTGATCTGCTCTGGTGAAGTCATCCAGCTTCTATGCATTTTGAAATAGTGTATGTGAATTCGACAGATGCCACTATGTAGGAATCCTCTTGTGTGTTTTTCTTTGATAGTTGAGAAACTTTGTATGTATTATTCTAAAATTAGAGCTGAACTTTGTTTTCTCTTTCAGCATATATTACAAACATTTGATAGGTGTAACTGATTTTGAAGTGCTCCTATCTTGGACTTAAGTGATGTAATTTCTTGACGTTCCTTGTAAATGTGCAGAGTATAATTCTGGTATATAACTTCTAATTCAGTTGATGGATAGTGCTTACCCAATGCTTGATGAAAAGTGTTGTTCTGGACTAACAAGCGCGTACGTCTGTCGCAGTGGATCTTCACCATATTTGCATTTTAGAAAACAGATCTGGGTTGATCACCACCCAGTTTGTGCCACCTCCTGAAAACCTGGCACATCTGTTCAAGTAGAGCCTGCCAGATGTATGCAACCTCAAGAAAAACTTTTCCTTACTGCAGAGGAAGTTACCATTTCCTACAGCTGTACACACTTCTTTACTAGTGCTTTTGCAGTTTGGTAGATGCCTGTATCCATTGCAATCTATATAATGTTGCTAAAAGAATTCAAGGATTTTTCAAAGCAACATGGATACATTGTCCAGAATGTCTGTTGTGGTGTGATTTTTCATCAATCAACCCTCTATGTGATATAGAAGAAGGTAAGTACCAAGCACCTTATTTTCAGTTGCATAATACACATCTGAAATGATGACAGACCACCTGCGAGATTTTTGTATGAGCTGTTAATCCCATCCACTCCCTGAAAGAGATGCTTTAGCTGTGAAGGGAAACCTGGCTGAAAATGGCAGGTAATGGTGCATTTTTTTAGCAACAGCACTTGTGTATTTTTTCCTTGAGGCAGAGAAGGGCACCTGCTTGGTTCCCTTTTAGTTACGGGTATATTCATTTCAACTTGTGATGTAGCTCTTGTGTAATTATGATTTGCAAGAATATGAATGGTAGTGATGACACAAGTACTTAATAGTAAACTTAAGGGACAGCAGAACATTTATGGCAGATAAAACAGGAAAGAAAAAGATTCCCCTCTTTCATCTGTCTGCCTAGTCCTCCAAGTAGCTAACAATTGACCAAATGTATCTCTCTGAACCACAAAAGGGAACATAGTCAAGTTAAGCTAATCACTCTACCACCACCTCCTTTCATTTCTGTTTGGCTCCTAGGCATTGTTGTTCATAAGTTGTACTTTCAGAGGAGAGGCCTTTGCTGAGGAAATTAAAAGTCTGGAATTGAGCAGCAGGCTTTTCAACCATCTGTCTTAGATAGATACAAATGTAAAGCAACCATGTATTTCTTTTCACTGTTCCACTGAAAAGTTTTTATTTTCCCTACCTTTCTTTCCACCCTAACACGGGTTTTGAGTGTTTTAAAGGTTCCCCAGTGGGGATATTAATGCTTCAGATTGAGTAAAACACTGGTTTTTGTCTGTGTTTATTTAGGAAAATAGTTTTCAGGCGAGTACTTACTTCCATTCAACAGGTGAGAGAAACTGACTAGGAGGGTAGGATGAGTTTCATTTTGGATGTTCCCAAAAACCCTGTACCTTCTGGCATAGGCGAGGTCTTGAAAGATCAATCACCGAATACAAGAAACTTTTTCAGTCTATTTAAGTGGTTCGCAAGATGCCCTCAGCTCTGACCCAGTCGTCTTACTCAGTGCCTTTAAAGAGACGCTGCTGTCAGCAAGATCAATAAAGCAGCTGCAAAAACCTTTTTCAGACTTTTATTCACACCTTGAAGAGCCTGAACGAGTAACTCTTAGGAGGGCCATCCTTTAGTCCTCATTCTTTGAAATGTGTTTTTGAGGGGTGCCATTCACAATCGCCCAAAATGTGAATGCACACAATACAAGTACAGATTTGAGAAAAAATATTTACCCATAGCCGCTTTTCAAGATGTGTTGCTAGGCATGTGCCTTCACAGCCTTGTCCTTTTCTTGCTCTGCTCCAAGTCCATTCCATGTTTCTGCATCTTGAGTTCAGAGGAAGCACAAGGAAGAGAGCGATGGTGCCCTTCACGCCTTGTCTCCCAGAGATCCTGCTATAGTGGCAAATGGGCTCTGTCAGCGTTGCTTGACTATAGGCAGTTCATGATGTGAATGTACATTCAGCCTGCTTATCTCAGCTGCAGGTAAACCTCGTGTTCCTCTTCCCGTGGAACATGTATGAACATTGTGGACTTTGGAAGGACATCATGTATCAAGAAATGTAAACTATTTGAGGTACGCAGCAGCTCTTTGAGGATCTCCAGGAAAAAAGTGTTCAATTTTCTGTTGTTTGGATAGGCACAGCTGCCAGTAACAAGACTGCACACTAGTCTAAAAAAATAGCAGTTAAAAAAAAACTTTCTCTTGCAACTGCAGTGTGTATTTTGATGCCTGTAATAATCCAAATTAAATGCTTATTTCAACCATGAAAGTTGTTCATATCATTGCAGAGAAGTGTTTATGTAAAAACCCAAACAAAATAACTGCTACAAATTCTAAAACGCTGCTGGCAAGGATACTGCAAAAACGTACAGCATTTATTCACATACAGACAAAAAGGCACAATTCTACTGAATGTTTTAACAAAAAATACAGCCGTCTTCAACTAGGTCTTTATAAATACTTCAAAAAAGGGAGAAAATAAATACAGGATTGGGCCATGTAATATAAAATAGTCATCTCTACATATACTTTTTATTTCTATCTTTCTCTTCATGCACCTTTTATAATTAATTTCAGCTGAATGGACACCAAAGCTAGGCACATAGTGAAAAATTTTCTGTACAAAGTTTTACAAATGTAATGACAGTTTTTTCAAATTTCTGAAATTAAGATTTATACACAACACGTATAACCCTTCATTTAGATTTGTGTGAGTTTATAACCTAAAAATGGCATTCCAGGCAACTTTACAGAAGTTCAACTAGCCTACAGTTGGACATATAAAACACCAATCATAATCAAAGATCTCTTGGTCAGTCTGCACAAGGGAAAGATAATGCTTAAAAACAGAAATTCAGCAAATGGTTCTATCCCAGTAAAATACAGGGGTGGGTTTGTATTGTCACTGCTGTACTTACAACACCTCTTCTGCTGAGTGCTAAGCGTGGGAGACAAAACTAACCTACAGAGCTGGTCATACTGCAGTCTTCTTAGAGCTTTTGGTTTTGGTTCAGCTTAACTTGAAACATTAGAAAGCTTATTAACCTAAACATCGGGGAGCAAAACAGATAAGGCATTAATTCTGCACAACGTTAGCATTCATAATAGTGCAAATTGACAGTGTACCTCTTTCAAACTGGTGTAAGGTTAAATGTTTACTTAGAATCAAAATTTAAGATTATTCCACCTATGGCTTAACAAACAATTCTTCATATGGTCATGAGCTTCTTTCTTACAGAAAATAACAGTGCCTGTCTGCAAAATGTTGCTGTATGTAAAGTAGAGCTTACCTGCATTTACCTTTTGTCTGTCTGCTGTTGCTTGATCAAACAAGTAGTATTCTTCTAGAACATGCCAAGAGTGACTACATAGTTTCAGATTCATCAGTGCCTTGTTTGACTTTCACCTCTGTAAATCATGAGGCTAATCTAACTTCTTGCGACCAGCAATGGCATTTTAAAAGTACACTATCTTACGTAAAATCCCCCTTCCTCAGCATCATCCCAAAAGGTATCAAAAGGTTAAAATTTCTGAGGTTTTAAAACAAATCACAGGGATGTATTCTATTGAAATATTTAATTAAGTAATAACTTGCATAGCAAGACAGGGTCTTAATAAGCCTTTTTTCTTCTTTTTTTGACTGAATCCTCTGGAAGACTCGGTTATGGCAGAGTTCTGCTGTATTTTCAGATGTTCTCTGCTCAAGAGGCAAGGGTCTAACATTGAAAAGTAAGTGGATGTGATAACAGCAGGCTACGAGTGGAAGTGGTGTGTGAATGGGGGGGAAGGTGTTCTTTATGCCTGTCTTTCTGTAACACACTGCTGCTTAAACTTTTTCATCAGTACATACCTGACTTAAATATATGCAAATATCCAAAATTCACAGGCTTCTAACAATCCACTGTTATGTGCACTCTACTTGATACAAACCAGTATCCTAATTATCTGTTAATATTATTGCTCATAGCTTACAATTATTGCCATTTGCAATTATTAAAAAAGTACACAATCAGAATATGAGTTCCCTCTTCCATCAAATCTAGTCCGGAATAGAATGAAATATTTTTTCTTTGACTGTAAAGAGCTAATCACAATTTATTGCCTTTCCATTTTATTCTATTTAAAAAATATATATTCATATCCATTTTAAAGCAACCCTCTAGTGTCATAAGCTTGGCTTTCCCAATACATAACATCAGTGCATCTGTGGTGGACTTTGGGAAATCCTACTGACTAGTGCCTTAGAATTGTTTTTCTGGAATTGTTACCATGCTCCAGGAGGCAGGTGCCTGACTGAGCAGCGATGGGTAATGCCACAGGGTGCAGTAACCCACAGGCCTGTCCCTTTTCTCAAAACTGAGCCATCTGAGAGTTTCTTCTGTGCTCAGTCCCCGTCTCTTCAAGCTGTTGCACTGTAAGGCAGCGGCAGCCTGGACCCAACCCTTCCCTTTTCTCCAGTATAATGTTGTGGTTAAATCTGGTTATCATGTAAATGTATTTACATGTAAACTGTGGAGCTTGTGGAGGGTTTTGAGCTGCCATCTATGCTCAAACCGAAAGCAACAGAAAACATTCTGCAAGTAGAGGAGGAAGCCCTACCACCATCCCAAGGAAAGCGACCATTTGTAATGGAGTTTAGCAGTGCGGTATGGTTAAACAACCATCTTCAATTCAACACATGCTAGTTAAATTAAGAAGAGCTTGTGCTTTTCCAAAAGGCAGGGGGGAGGGAGCAAAATTCTACCAGTGCTTTTTTAGCTAAAATGGGTGAATGTGGCCTACTTCCCCCTACCTACTATAGCCCCTTCTAAAAGATTTTTGTGAATTATTTTAGTGTTCATCACAAATCCTGCTTTAGTAGTGATGGCATTTTTCTGCTTAGGAAAGTTGCAAATAAAGGGGAGTTAAACTTCTCACAGAACTGGTTGGGATGTGGGGCAGAAAAACCAGCTTTAAGTGCATGTAAACATGTTTATACAGCTCAGGAATAATGGATTATCAATTTTGTCAGTCTGTAGCCACATCTAAGAACCTCTCCCCTTTCACACCAATCAGTAATGTGGAGTTGGCTTGTAGGCAGTGACTCTACTGACCACAGTGCTGACAACATGTCCCTGTGCCCAGTCAGGATGCCAGGATGCTTCTCCTAATAATGTCCGTCCTTCTGCTGATCGTGCTGTTTGGACTGAGCCTTTGCTGCCTGCACTTTTTTTCAGCCACTTCAGTCTCTGAGTCGCTCATTTCTGCATCGGGGATGTACCCATCATTCTCGCTGTCAGGCTTTAGCTTGCTTTTCGCCCTGTCCTTGGGTGAAACTCTGCCCACTCCCAGGCAGGGGTAGCTGGAGTTCTGGCGGCAGGTCTCCTCTGGGCTCTCGCCCTGCTGTTGCCTCTCCCCCTTCTTTGGAATTCGGAATCCGCCCCAGTTTTTCACTGGGCTCGTGGGCGTTGTAGGCACTTTAACTACTGTCTGGTTAGAGTTTACTTTGACAAGACCCCCGTTGCATTTAGGCACTATATCCCTCCGTGTGCCAGCTGCTGGCCTACCACTGGAGTGGTTCACAGCCCTTTTATTTTCTGACTGCCTCTGAGAGAGTTCTGTGGGTCTCAGTGGTTTGTGGTTGTGTTTAGACGTCTTTTCCTTTAATTCTGCCTTGATCACCTCACACTGTGGATGATTGTCTCTTCTTTTCCTGTGGTCTGGTATAACTATGCCATTTTTCTGCTGTGCTGTTACAATCCGTGTTTCTGCAAATGTCTTGTCAAAGTTTAAAAAGCTACCTTGAGCTGCACTGCCATCCCTTTGGCTGGGCTGCCTCAGCAAGGATCTGCCGTCATTCCCGGAGCTGTTTCTTACTCTGTCTCTCTTGTGTGATTTTTTCAGAGAGTGGGTTAGAGATGTGCCCATTTGTTTCCTGAAGAATGCAGAATGCCATTTCAAATCCTCTATCTTAGGGGCATTGGGGCCCAAAGATGGACTATTGAACAGCACTGTGTTTTCCATTGAGGAGAATGAAGAAGGCACACCTAAATGTAAACAAATTACGTTAAAGTCAAGCAATTCCTTGTCTGGGTAAATACCACTTTTGAATGTACCTATTTTAACTGTTCCTCACGCCTTACGTGTTCTTCAGCATTTCATTGCCTGTCTAGCACCTTTACGTCACTATTATGGGGCTATGTCACGGTTTCACAACGTACTACTGGTATAGTTTACTTTCCTGTAGCCATGCTGTACCTAATTACACCTGTAGCAAATATAAATCCTCACACTGCTACATCCACTAAGACAGAGAAACTTCTCAGAGAGGTGGGAAAAAGCAACCAGCAAGTGGATCTGATTGATTCTTTCTAAAATATGGTTTATTAGTTACTGAATACTTTAAGGATAATATAGTTAATGCGGTAACCTTGAAATTATTCATATTCCTGAGAAAAGATTACTGTCAATGAGATTAGGCAGAAAAAAACCATCTTGTTTTAAAACCAGAGTGCTACCTTTTCAAAAGTCATTTCTTTAAACTGCCATCTATGATGCAAAGTAGTACATACTAAATACTAATGCAGCGGCACTAATAAGCCACAGACTTACAAGTAACCATATGGCACCTGAATGTAAGTCACGGTCTCTTCTGTCATAAGGAGTCATTACAGAATCACACCAGAAAGGATCCAAAGCAGCAAGCCATTCACTGCCTCAAGGGTAAGAACAGACTTACCAGTTTCAAGAGCAATGTGCCCACCACTACAGCTACACAGATTAACATTTTTTCTCACAATCTGCTGATGCATGGTGGACAACACAAGATTTTAATGAGAATAAATGAGGTCCTGTTTGTCCTTCAAAATTAGTCATTAGCCTGCAACTGAACATTTCAGTGCTTGTGCCTGTGGTCTCAAGTGAAAAAGATTACACTGGAGCATACCTGAAAGTCTGTCTTGTTCCAACTGCTTTGCGTAGACATTAAATATCTGTTCTTGAACTTTGCAAACAGATCTCTTGATTTTTTCCCTTCGGGTCACCATGTAAGTGAGATTACGCACCTTGAAGACACCAAGTTGATGAGTTTACAGTAACTGTGTTTCTATAATGTTATAGATCTGTGCTTTGAATTAATTCAGTTTAAGTACTATACACCATTTAAACAAGTTAGTAATGTATTTAAATGTAACCTTCAACACACGTAGGAAAGAGTCTTAAATACTGTTTAACTGACAGATTATTCCATCAGATGCTGGAGGGCCACAGCACAGAAGTACCTTCTATGAACAAATGAATCATAGATGTGCATATACACACACACACACACACACAGGAAATCCAGAGAAATGCTGGAAATGCTTAAATGTACTCAGTATGAAATAGCCTAATACCATTTGCTTGTTATTGGTTAAGACACAGCAGAAAATTATACTTAATTAATAGCGTGAAAATGTGGAGAGACATTCAGCAGTACCAGTCTTTAATGACCCTGGCATGGCAATATTACTGATTAAAATGAAGGCAGACCAGCCTATTCAGGCCACAGAACAACTGAGGTAGCAGGAACTAGAAACAGTAACAGAATTCTTATTTTTACTATCTTAGGTTTTTTAGAAGAAAACTACATTTCTGCCCTTAAAATGTCTAATCTAGATAGCTGTGGAAGTTTCACAACCACCGCTCTCCTAGAGCTTAAAAGTTGTTTCTTTCCCAGATGAGGGAACTGCTGAGAGGTGTATTGGGGTGTTTCCAAGACTCCTCTCTCAATTCAGTGTAGCTGCATACAGCATGGTGCACCAACCTTGTAGGCTCATCTCACAGCCACTAAGGAGGAGATATTTAAGTGTGAGTGGTTTTGCTAGGGTCCTGCTCTAAGGCTTCCAGCCCGAGGACAGCCAGTACTTTAAGTAACTGTCACCACTCTGTGGATTTGAACAAGAAGGGATTTGTCCACCCCGGTACCCTTTCTGATACAGTCCATGGCCTTTTGTTCTTTTCCTTTTCTGATCCGAGCTGCACAACAGATGTGTCATGTCCACAGAATTACCTGTTTCGTTAAATCAACTGGATGACGTGACTTCAAAATCTCTTTCTAGATGGATGACAATGTCACTGTCTTACATTCATAATCAAGTCTACCCAACTTTATCTTGAACAGGAGAAAAAAAACCTAGGCCCCATTTTAATTTTTCATCCAAGTTATCTTGGATGTACCATCAGTGGGAACAAGAGAGCAGTAAAATATTACTAGAATAACATATCCTGTTTTGACATCACACTTGAAAATGGAAAGGATACAATACAGAATCATTTAAGATCCAGAAAACAGTGACAAACAGCTTATTTAGCTGATCAAAGAGAAAATTAAATGAAATCCTGAGCATGCTGAGCAGAAACAAAAGACAGTAGGTAGCAGCTATCTCACCAAGCTAGAGAATGGTCACTGGCAAGAAGTTGAAACTAGAAAAAAAACTTCAAAAGAAAAACTGCAGCAATTCATTAGAAGAATAATTAGCCATCAGAATTATCCTTTATAAAGGATGGAGTAGATGCATGAGCACCTGCTGTCCTGAATTCAAGTCCAAATGCTATTCTGGAAGAGACGCTCTAGTTCACCCACAGGTTATCAGGGCTGAGGTAGGCCCCTCCTGAGCCACGTTCTGTACATGGCCTACATGAGCCATATGCTGTATGGACATGAACTAAAATAATTTCAGTACTCTTTCCAGTAGCAGTGTATCTTAAACTCTCTACTAGTCAGCCCCCCAAAAAATAAACAACAAGCAAAATGAAAGGAATTCAGATCATTACAGGATCAGATGTACTTCAGATAAAACACCAAACTGATCCTGTTAAACTGTTCTTTAAACATTCAAAACCTAATTAAGTGGAATCATGTGTTCCCAAACTACTACACAGGTAGTCCAATGAAATGTCATCCTACTATGACCATGTCAATGAAGAACAGGTCTGCTCTAAATCCAGGCAAGTTTTGTTATCTTTTCCCTCTTGTGCACCAGATGAAAAGAGCAGAGAAAGTCCTTAAAAGCTAAAAACCTTCATCTGGGGGTTGCAGTACAGTCCACTGCCATCAATCGGTGAGTGGAAATACAACAATACAGTTACAAGAAAATTGGGTACTACAAGCCAAGACCTGCTGGCCCTGTGAACTAACTCTGTTCTTGGAAAGGGTAATTGGTGTAACCACTGTGCTCTGTAGAAACTGAGTGTTAACCATCTTTTCTGACAATACAGCTTGGAGTTAAGATGCAGCATGGAGTGAGTGCCTGCACGCAAGGGCAGGAACGGAGAGCATAGTTTGGAACCTCAGCTAATAAAGGCCAGCACACCTCGCACAAGCACAGGCAGTGCAGTGGCTTACCCGCTCGAGATCCTGCCGGAGGTGTGTGAAGAGCTGCAACCTTCTGAACAGAACATCCTGTTCCCGTTTAGCCAGATTGTCCTCTTCATCCTTCTTTGGGGTAATCAAAGGCTTATTGAAATTGGCTTTTCTCTTCAGTTTCCAGTACTGGTAAAGGAATCCCACCGGCTCCTCAGGCAGCCGCAGCACTTTAGCCACTTCCAAAGACTCAACAAACGTATAGAACTCATCCTCCAGCTGCTGGAGCTTTTGCTTGCGGAGGCTGACTCGGTGGGCCTCCTCCTGGTTTTGATCCATGCTGTGGAAAGGGTCGATGTGAGCAGGAAGAGAGTCGTACTGAATCTCGTTCCCATTCTCCTGGCGTGGGCTTTCATTGAAAGTCTCATCATCTGCTTTCTTGGTGGAGCTGTGCTTGGGACAGTACGACTTAAATTTTACCTCATCGTTCTCCGCCAGTATGGTCTTCATCTCCAAGCCACGATCAAATGCACAGGTGACATGAAAGGCTGTTCTGCAGTTCTTCACTGAACACTACAAAAATTAAATTAAAAGTAATCAAATATAAATTTAAGAAGCCACACTGCCTCAAACTATTCGAGCAGCCAGGACTGCTTTGGAAGAACCACCCCGTTACCACACTCTGCTTCTAAGCTGCATGTACTTTCTTGCTCACTTTTAATTAGGTTTATGATTTAGTGCTTTCAGGCCAGGCAACTACCAAGTGGCCCAGTGGGACAGGAGTGGTTAACCCCTTCCTAGCCCAATAACCAACAAATCCACAAGAGGAGTGTTCCCACCATCATTGGAGCCACTCACTTAAGGCAGTGTTACACAAAGAAAAACATTCCCCCCCCTTTCACTGTGGCAGCATTAGAGAGAGAGAGGGAAAAACATCTTGGTGGCTCCAGGCCAGCCTGATACTTTTAATTAAAAGTTTTTCCAGCACCTGGACCCATGATACCCAAAAGGCCTCAACTGAGGGGATTATTTTTCCTGTTATCCCAAGTTTATAATGTGAAATATTGAATCACTGTCCATCACTACTTCACTAACTACAGCCTTCACCTGCAGGATGAGGAGAACAGGAAATTCAAATTTTTGCCATTTTTCTTCCCTCCTAGTGAACCCAGCCGTCATAGAGCACTAGGCACTAGTTCAGACACTTCATTTCACTTATGTGTAACTTTTGCTCACAAAATGCTGTCATAGCTATTACTAACCACAAACTGCAAGGTTTAAATATATGTATATACATGCACACATACATACGCATTTTTATCAACTCACACCTCTGCCTCCAGTAAAAAAGAATTTCAAGAGGAAAAGAAGTAGTGCTATTAACTAGGAGGAAATAAAACTATGTTTAACCCAAGTCATCTAACCCGCAAGAGAAATGCATTGGACTAGGATGTTTATACAGTACTTTGTAAAAAAGCCAAGTATCTTCCTCCTCTGGGTTTTCTTGCTGAGGTTGACTCAGCAGCCGGACGGCATATAAAGGTACACTAGAGTTTAAACTGCAGAAGTTTCAAATGAACACTCTTTAATAAAATCAACATATAAAAGGAATGAAAAAATACTAAAGCATCCTTTGCCCTTTCCTCTCTAACTAGCAAACAGGGCAAAAGCAGCCCAACTGAACACCCAACAGAGCACAGAAGAGCACTTTAGCCATGGTTTCCGGGCTCCTGTCATTTAGAATGATTAGCTTAGTGTGGGTGGCTAATGTTTTCTTGGGAGAGGAGAGGAAAGCCTGTCTCACTGGAAGGAGATCTGCTGAACTTGAGAGAAATGCAATCTCCTTTTTCCCAGCTTACTGCAGCTGCTCTCTGCCCAGCCTGATGCATACTTCCAGCTGCTGGCTTTTCTAATGGTTGTGCACATCTCATTGTATCTCTGGAGGGTCTCTCCCTCTCAGTTCATCCAGTTAATGCTACTTCCTTTCTATTGCAGTGGCTTTGTATAATGTTCTCTGCTGTATAACATTTCACACCACAAATGTAATTTGTCACTGCTAGCTTTAATGATACCAAGATTTACATAACTCCTATAAAATGTCAGGCAAAACTGTAATTTTTTCTCTCTTCCTCCATAATTTCAAATGTAGAACTGTCTGAAGTGGCAGTCATCGTGCCTGCATGTCATCTTGTGTCGTCACTAGAAGGGGAGAGGCGGCACCAGAATAAATACGGATGGACATCCCCCCTCTTCCCTGCACATTATCGTACATAAAGACTCAAGTGTTCAACTTAAACTACTCAAGTTACCCCTCAGAACAGCTCTGGAGAATGGACAAGCTCTCTCAGCTACATAACAACAGCCAGGAGCAAGGAGACAGCTCTACAAAGAGGTATTAGGATTGCAAATTTATATGCTGCGGACAGATTTATTTTCTCTACTTAAGGAATGTATAAAATAGTAAATGCTAAGTGGAAACGGACTAGTAGGTTTCACTGGAACTACTGCTGCCATCGCTCTTCTACAACTTTTTCTGGCAACTTCATCAAATGACTCGGAGCAGAGGAAAAAAGGAAATGGATAAAATCTAATTTTAAAGCAGTGCAGAACTTCAGCAATTCTTCTGTCATAATGCTTAATGTTCTAACCACTGTGGATCCTGTAACATTAGGCTACCCACAAAACAGAAAGCGCTCTACTTCTTCACACTCCTTATGAGACAGTAAAACCTTCCTATTTGTCTCGAGGAGCTTTCTGAGGATCATTTTGCTGAAGTATTTGAAGCACTTTGAAGATGAAGAGCATTACCACAATACTAAGCTACATTTTATAGTCCTTTTCAACACAATCACAACACTGTCCCAAGTGAGTCACCTGTCCTTTCATCATTTGTTCTTGAGTAAGTTAGATCAAACTTTTGTCTTGTGTCCCAGGAAACCAAGGATCTCCTCTTTCAAAAAAGCAGGGGGCTTAGTAATGTGTTTTCTCTATCTCATAAGATTTTAACATTTTTCTCAAAATTATTATTTAACATTTCTGAGTGATTTTCCACTATGAAGGATCTGCAAGTGCTTTACCGCTAACAACTCGAAACAAATATGCACCTGAAACCACACTGTCCAGTCTGAAATGCTCTGGTGCAGATCAATTCAGCTATTTAACAGTGACAATTCACAGGCTGCAGCAAGAAAGGCTGAATCCGTATCCAATTGAAACTGCAGAGAGAATTTTGGAAGTATGCAGTGAGAGAAACTGGCACAGACCCAAGAATGTGAGTCGTTGGTATGAAACAAATGGATTTATAGCACTGGCTTTATACTTTAATTATTTATTGCATACGGAAATCATTCTTTTGGGAACTATGAAGACTAAACATTTTCTTTTATTCTGCCCCATCTTGCTGTTTGGGCAGTCCTCACCCCTGAGCTCAAATGAGTACCAGAAGTCAGAACAGTAATGTGACACTGCTGCTACAGCAACATGAACTGGGAAACACACACCCAGGAGGTCTTTTTGCCTTAGAAACACCAAGAGCTCCAGAATCTACCCACAACCAATGGAGGAAATGGGGTTCATTTCCTCAGCTTGCTTAAATCTCAGTGCAGACCAGTTCAACAATGTTTTATTCCTACTGCTCAAAAAGCCTGGTATTAAATGATCAGATATTCTGCTCAGCAACTTAAAAGACGGACCAACAATAAAATAGGTACACCCAAAACAGTCCAATGTTAAGTAGTACCTAAAATTAGAAATTCAAAGCTACAACTAGCTTTATAATCAAAGTGAAGTTGTTCACTTCCACTGACTTCCGTAAGAGCTGGACAGGCTCAGCACTTCAAAAATTCAGGTTTTTATAGGAAATACACAACTCCCTTTGAAGTATCTAACTTGTTTTAAAAGCTGCGAAATAGAGACTAGCAGATAGGTTTCAGTACAGAAGCTTTCAGCATTCAAGCTTCATTTCTTTCTGGTACATCGCAGAAAGACAGTTTCTTCCTCTACTCAACAATATTTAAGTTTTATTACAGTGTACTAATAAATATACCAGCGTATCTTCGAATTAGGAAGTCTTATGGGATGACCTGGCTATTATAAAGATTTTACTAGAAAGTACGAGCACACAAACATTTAAAAGCATTCTGTGTGCAACCAAGTCCATAGTAACGAACAGGAAATCAAAGGAAGTTTACCACGATACATGTTTTGTGTATCTACTAAACACCGACAAAATAAAACACACACACACTCGTGCTGTTAAGTTACCTGTATAGAAGCTCCAACTTTTTCATTACAAAGGCTACACACCAGTGCCCATCTACTGCTGGGAATGTGAGAAACCTTTGTAATGGGCTCCATTTTTTCTGGGCTTCCAATGCTCACCTAAAAGAAAAAAGTTAAAAAACAGAGAGTGATTATTACACTGTTAATTGATGAGGGAAACCATTTTATCAAAGAAATCCAATTCCTTGTGTGCATATGCAAAATTAGCATGTTCCAAGTTTCTCAGTTCATAAGGAACTAAAAAAAAATAAAATTCCTTTCCTGAAAAAATCAGTTCCTCACTTCATGAACAAAACAGTTTCAAGATGAATCCCACCAATAAAAATTACCATATAGGATTAATATTTTGATTATGAGAACCCACAGGAATTCTGTCATATCCAAACTTTTCAGATTCACCTTTAATGTTCCATTTACAAAGTAAAATGGTGTTTCATGTGCTTGTTAAATGAGCTTTGCCAGCAGCAAAGACCTCATTTTTGGAAGCCTAATTTTGGTAATTAACTTCTTACTAGATGATGCATCATCCTGCCAGACTTTACATCCAATTGAAAATCTTTAATACTGTCTTCCTAGGAAGTACCATATACATACATACATACATACATACATACATATGCATGCTACTCTCATTGTAGCAACACATACTAGGTTGAAGAATGTTTTTAACAGGTATCTTCTCTCCAAGAATCACTGCAGCCCTAAACTCCCAGAGAAGCAGCACCTACCTCTGGAATCCACAAAGCACAACTAACGTGGACCCACTTGGTGCCACTCCTGGTCGGCTTCATGGCGCCACCCTTCTTGGGACACAGCAAACACTTGGGCTGAACACCAAGCGCGCAGGTCCTGCACAGCCAGCTGCCTTCCGGCACCTTCAGGATCCCGTAACATGCCTGTATTCCCATTTACAGAAAAGGGAAAGAAAACAAAGGAAACAAGGTGAATTTCTGTTACTTTTTAGCTGTTCACATGTAGCCTCTCATAACTCTCAAAATGTTCTTTAGCCTCAGAAGTGTGCAGAGAGGAAAAGAATATAGCAAGAGAAGTGGCCAGGTGAGAGCGTACAACAATGCACATATGTATCTTTTGGGGAGGCTGTTCCTCACCTTGTAATTTCCTCCACACATACACGATACCACTTTTAAGCCTCTTAGCAGGACATTTCTAGAATTACTTGTAACAATTCTCTTTCTCAAGTATATGACTCATTAATTCATCCCACTGCTCAGTGGTGTACTCCCCAGCAACTTAACAGATCAAGATCAATGTCTGTCACTGGAAAAAATCCAACCTGTTAAAAGATAACAGTTTGGAAAAAAATTCTGCCACCACCCCTACACTTCCCCACTGTGCCCTGGCCACCATACCTGGTGCACACAAATATTGCATTTGTCACAAAACACCATTTCGTTGCCATCTTCTCCATCTGGAGACTGACAGACGTCACAGACAACGTCTTCATCATATTCAATGCCAAGTCCTTCTTCAGTCTCGATAGCATGATTCATGTTATCATAGCATCGTTGTTCAAACTCCTCTATGACTCTTTCCATCGTGTACTCATCCAGCTCAGGCATCCCTGGGAAACAGTAGTTGCGTATTTAAAGGTAACAGTGACAACCACTGCCACACACAATGATTTCAGCCTCTTTTTTTAACAGCTGAGTAGAGATAGCTGACCGCTACACATACACACTTCTTTCCTAGACAATCGTGCCTATTCCAGCACAAACTAGGGAAACTGTTAAAAACATTTAAAAATCAAAGAAGTCTTAATCCTGTATTAAACTAATAGCACCAGAGTATCCAAACCAATCTTTCAAAATCCAGAGAAAAACTTTCATAAACTGATTTTGGCTCCCTGGTCTTGTTCTTATTTTTCCTTCTGGGCCAGCACCGTCTATGGCTTTTGCTTCAATTTTGCAAACCAGATGTTAACGCTTTGGTGAATGATTTGAGAGAGTTTGGAACCAGATGGGGACAGAGGTGGGAAATCAATGACAAAAACTGCTATGATACTGGTAGCAAACTTGCAGTTTCTGACAACAGTTGTTTTTTCACAAGTTCCAACCCAATAGGGTGCAACCTCAACTGAGGTCTCCATCAGACTCTGCTACACCAATAAATCAGTTTGTTTTAAGAAGTTAAAAAACACAGCTGTAATAAGAGCAATGTCAAATCTGGGTCAGTAAATAAATGCAACATCTAATCTGAGATTCGGTCTTTCCAAACAGAGTCCATCTGAAAATTATGCATGACACCACAGCTATGGGCTGATTACATTAAATATTTTATAATTAAAATTTATTAATTATATTAGATTACTATTATAGACCTGAAAAAATATCTATCAGAGAAGCAGCAAGAAAAACATCAAAAAAGAGCACAGTGCTTCCCCCTCTGGCTTCCATTTCTCACTTGCCATGACAATGAGCTGTGTGTACTTTTCAAGTTGGTGCTACACCAACCTTTACCACAAAATCATGCCACACAAACACTTGCATATCCAAGAAAGCTACACTACTGCAAACAATCACCTTACTCTTGCAAAGTCAGCTTAGCACAAGTATTTCCATACACTTAAATCACTAGAATGAAGCACAGGCTTAGGATATCCTGCTTTTGGTCCCCAAAAACTAACATTTACTATGACTTAGAGAAGATGGCAACCCCATGATCTGTATTTTAACAAGAATCACAGAATCACAGAATCTTAGG